ACCTGGTTATCTCAATGTTAAGAATTTGTATGGATATTGTTACACTGTCCTACACAATAGAGAGAGACAGCAGGATATCAGATAATAAATCATTTAGTGTTTTCAGAGGATTTGAATTTTCTCTGATTAGCGTAACCAAAGAAGAATAATGTCAATTCATGCAATTAAAAAAGGACGAAACATTTAATTCATCATGGTATCAGGACATCCACTTTAATGGTTTAATGCCAGGGCATCAGCATGTGCCTAGGTTACTAAGCAATGTTCAATACTTGCTGGGAATCAACCTGGTGGTATGGGATACATTATGATAATAAAGCAAAATGCCTGGGCAGAGACAATATGTTTCAAGTAGCAATCCTGATATAGAACTGAAATGCGATGCCAGGTTGGTCACAGTGATGGGATTTTGTAATTAGGTCAGGACACTACTTCTGCAATTACACTACAAGTTTAGCTCAACTGTGAAGTGCTTTCAGATTTACAACAATATGGTGCAGATCAGTCAGGAGGCCCGATTAGTATCCTTGGAATAAGATCTTACATATTTGCTGGCTTCACCACTTGAGTTCACATTTGTGTGTCGAATTCGTATCAATTTCTCCCAGGGAAGTTTTCTCCAGTGGTGCTGGCCAATATTGTCCCTCATCCAACAATACCAAAACAGATTGTTTGGCCATTACCTCATTGTTGTTTATGGGGCTTCGTTGTGCAGAAATTTACTGCTATAGTGTCTAGATTGCAAAGATCATTGCCATTCACATTGAAGCATTTCTCTGGCTGAAAACTACTTGGGACATCAAAAAATCATTTAAATAAGTGTTACATAAATACAAATCTTTATTACTAACTCCCACATTTTTATCATTTAAGGACTTTGTTTGTTGTCACTAAGTATGCAATCTGACTACTGGGGTCTTATAGTTTGCTCAAAATGCTTTTACTGAGTGCATTTATGACTATCCATTTTATCCAAAGTATTGAATACTTTTAAACACCCAAATATAGGCAACAAATAATAATGCAAAAATTAATTAATTATGTTAAAGTAATTAATCTATGAAATTGTCTTCTATGTGTTTTAATATATTTGTTAAAGACTTTCTATGGGCTATGTACCACGAGTGCAAAACCACAATAATCATTTCGATTTTTCCATGACCACCGTACGTGAATTCATGCCTCAATAAACTTGTGACACATACACACTTGTGATTTTATGCTGGAAGGAAGATGTAATCACAATATGAAATATTTAAAAATATTTCTAATGCAAATGAGGACCCCAGAATTTATATCTGAAATATGTAATAAGACCAAACCTAGGCCTTAAAAATTGTACCTGAATTATGCCTACATGCTTTTGTCTGAGCATTCTATAGTTACAACTGAAAAGTTCATATGACAGCTAGGAATTCATAATGAATCCCTCTTAGAGCATAAGAACACAAGAACCAGGAGCAGGCGCAGGCAACTCAGCCCCTTCAGCCTGCTCCATTTTTTAATATGACGATCGCTAATCTCATCACAACCTCAACTCTACTTTCCTGCCTGCTCTCCATAACTCTATAACCCAATACTAATTAAAAATCTGCCTATCACCTCTTTAAATTTACTCAGTCCTTGCATTGACCTGGGGTAGTGAACACCACAAATGCACAATCGTTTAAAAGAAGTAATTTCTCATCTCTGTTTTAAATCTGCTACCCCTTATCCTAAAACTATGACTTCTTGTACTAAATCGCCCCACATAATGAAACATCTTTTTTGCATCTATTTCATCCATCACCCATAGCATCTTATATATGGCAACTAGATCTTCTTTCATTCTTCTACATTCCAGACAGTATAGGCCTAAACTGCTCAATCTCTCTTCATAATACTGATCCCTCTCCTCTGGAATCAATCTAGTGAACCTCCTCTGAACAGCCTCCAAATGCAACTACATCTCTAAGGGACCCAAACTGTTGGTATTATTCCAGGTACAGTCTGACTAATGTCTTGTGGAGTTGAAGAAAAACTTCTCTACCATTATACTCTATTCCTTTAGCAACAAATGCCAAAATTCCACTTTCCTTCCTTATCACCTGCTCTACCTGTATACTAGTTTTCTGAGAAAACCCAGATCCCTTTGCACCAATGCACGCTGAAGTTTCTCTCCATTTAAGTAATACAATTGCCTTTCTATTCTTCTGGCTAAAATGGAAACGTCACACTTAACCGTGTTAAATTTCATCTGCCAAATTTTCGCCCATTCACCTAACCTATCCATATCCATTTATACATTTATTTCTTGATTGCAACTTACTTTTCCACCTTTTAAACGTCACCTGCAAATTTGGCTACGGTATCTTCTATGCCTGCATCCAAGTCGTTAATGTAAACTGTAAATAGTTAGGCCTGAGGACCAAACCGTGTGTCACCCCACTAGTTACATCTTGCCAATCAGAAGAAGATCCATTTATCCTGACTCTCTGCTATGTTGGTCAGCAAATTCTCTATCCAAGCTAATAAACAACCCCTAGCCTCATGGGATATCAGCAGAAATAGATGGCCACTCATCTGGTTTTCCACCTGGGCCATGAGTATAAATCCTCATGAAACCTTAGACTTTCAACAATCAAAATTTTATACCCTCAAAAGGTATTTGCTTGAACAAACTGGAGTGCTTACTTAGCTTGATTTATATCTTTATGAAGGTATAAGGAGTTACCTTTCCATGACAACAAGGTGTAGAGCTGGATGAACACAGCAGGCCAGGCAGCATCAGAGGAGCAGGAAAGCTGACGTTTCAGGTCTGGACCCTTCTTCAGAAATGGGGTAGGGAAAGGGGACTCTTTTGCCAATGTTTGCATGCACGCAAACTAGGCAAAGATTCTGATACTGATAACACAATGGCCTTAAAAGAAAACCGAAAGAACTGTGGATGCTACAAGTCAGGACCAAACACAAAGTTGCTGGAAAAGCTCAGCCGGTCTGGCAGCATCTGTGAAGAAGAAACAGAGTTAACGTTTCGGGAACTGAGCAAGGGTCACCGGACCCGAAACGTTAACTCTGTTTTTTCCTTCACAGATGCTGCCAGACCTCCTGAGCTTTTCCAGCAACTTTGTTTTTGAACATAATGGCCTTGTCTGATTGAAAAAAAAACAACTCTATGAAAAGTGTCAAAGTAGATTGTTGAATCAGTGCTTCTTTTCCATCAACATTTCAACACATTCCATTATGTTCATATGGCTCATTACATGGTAAATACTTGGTGCAAGAGCATGGAGGTAACACAGGTAAGCAGGGTGTATAAGGGGCATTGCAAAGGACAGTGAAATTCCCATCCACCCAACTACCCCACCACCCCCATCCATCCAGCATGAGTGTGGGTTTGTCACATTCAGAGAATTGCTGGTGTCAAGAATGGGGCTTGGAGTCCCAGAATTGGGTCCCACCTGTCGTTTGGTTGCTCAGTTAGCCCAAGTGTGGTCTTGGTTCTCCATGGGTAACACCATGGTCAATATACGTTCTGGTTTTATCTATTAATAATCTCATAACTGGAGGGGAATACAGAGCCAAATGGATTGAGAACGCATCAAATAGCATTTGACATCTGGCATCTAACATAAATCAATATATGATTGATGCACCAAGCACATTGTATACAATGTTCAATTACAGGCAAACGGTTTACTTCATATCTGCCCTGTGCACTGTTGTCAAAAAGCAAAGTTTTTTTGTAAAACACTGTGCCCGATAACTTTTATGGTGTGCTTTTCCTCACCAATTTTTATCAACATCATGTCATCATCAACATACAATGCTTTAAACCACCTGCCAAAATCATTGCTCCATAAAACCTGCGAGCAATTGTGGGTACAGTAAAAACCACAAATCAAAAAGTTGCTTCTACAATGCTGTAACAGTGAAGCAATGAAAAAAAGTCAAAAAATTACTTACAGATCAAACACTAGGTAATGGAATCCTTCCTCTGATATGCTATCATGGAGGCGAACTGAAAAAGAAAAACAAAAACAAAATCTAACATATTGATGCATTGACATTTGAAATTAAATGTGTGCCACATATGAAGACATTGTGTACAAATTTAGACATTAGTATATACACAAGAGCAACATAAATACTCCAAGGATAATACTGTAATCTCTACCATTACTAGCTGATTGAACTCCATTATTTTAATGTATATGTATTGTTCATTCAATGCCCATTTATTTTACTAGCAGTGGTCCAATGTCTTTGAGGTCTTATGTATACACAGCAAATAACATAACCCACTTTGACCATGGGCATATTATTTACACAAAATATCTGCTGGTACATACTATTCGCTGAAAGCCAATAACAAACTGGAAGAAAGAAAATACCTGTGAAGAGACACAGAATTAACAGAAAACAAAAAAAAACACTGAAGATGCTGGAAATCTGAAACTGAAATTGCTTCAGAAACTCAGGTCTGGCAGGTCTGAAGGGTCACTGGACCGGATACATCGACGCTGCTTTGACTCCACAGAATGAATGGCCCTGGGTGGATAGGGATGGAGGTGGATAGTTTCACTTTTGGAGAAACCCAGAAGGAAAGGCTCCCCTCAAAGCCTGCTAATGTAATGCCAGGGACTGACTGGTAATTCTGCCTCCATTTCCCAGCCATAGGCATCCCTCCTCTCTATCAGGGAGATGGTCCTTTAACACCAAAACACAGCCCAGGAGCAGAGAAGAGTGCACTGGAGAAGATAACAGACAGGTTAATGGCGGGGGTGGAGCATTAAAAATTACAGCCAGAGTGTGAGGGGTGGAGGGTGGAATCAGAAGGACTGGAATTTATTTTTTGGATCTATTAGTCCTCAACGCATTTTAGACACTGGGTTAAATTAAAAATTGAAGTAAAATCCGAGGTGTACGCTTGGATTAAAATACTTAAGTAAGACACTAATTTCCTCAGTGCAAGACTGTCTCTCTAACCCAAATTCAACTGGAGTCAATTTTTTGTCAAGACCCAAATCCGCTCACTTCTGGAGGTTAAAGTTTGCCCGAACCATCATCACAACCTGACAAGAGTTGGGTGGCAGATTCACTATTTCTCAACTCCTTGAATTAATGAAGTCCACAGGGCCAAAACTGTGATGAGCTTTCACAGCATAGACCAACATTTACTGTGTAGTTTAATACACAAGTGATGACTGCAGAGGTAAACCACTGCTGCTGTGCAGTCACCTCCGAAGACAGGCCCCAGTTACCCAAAGGGTGGGGTCAAAGAAAAGATGAATTGTTGCCAAGTGATATTTTTCTCTCATCACTGTATATTCTTACTGGCTGCTACACTTGATCTGTGAGAGGGGAGTAAATTAACTGCACGAAAGGGGGACTGAGCTTCAGTGTTAAACCCAGATGAATAACGTTGCTTCCTTTGATGGATGAGCCTGAAAACTCCCTTAAGAACATTCCAATGACACCAGGACTTGCAGTTCAATCAGATAATAGATGTTTCAATCAAGTGGTGATTGTTTCAAAGATGAAAACATAACTTCAAAAAGAACGGGTTAAGTATATGATGAGGAAGAATATACAAAAACTTGCAGAAGAGAATGTTAACATCAGAATAGTAGTTGAGCCAAATAGTTATTAGGTTGAGGGATTCTAAATGTCTGGTGCAGCTGTACAATGTCATCTGTTACCAGGGAATCTGAGGGATACTGTGACCGCTTTTCAAGAAGGAGACAAGTCCAACTGTGGCAAGTACAGTATAGTCATCCTGCTGCCTGCCACAGGGGAGATTAGGGGTTTAAGGATTCTCCAAAAGCACCTCTTCCCAGTGGCCGAAGAACTCCCTTTCAAAGTCTCTCACATACTGTTCATCCATCGAGAGGAACCACAGACACAGCCCTTCACCAAATGGCAAATTCAAGCACGATTCAATACCAACTGCTGGTGTGTTTAGTCTCTTTCAACCTCACAAAAAAAAACCTTTTGACTCTCAACCAAAAAAAAAGCTCATGAAGTATCCTCCTCAAATTTGGCTGCCCATAGAAAATGTCATTAAGAAGGAGGTGGGGGATGATGATGACAAATTTCTGTGGGCAGCAAAGAAAGCCTTGATCCTCGCCAATGGAACCACCACAAGCTCCATCTTATTGAAGACTAGGATCAAACAAGGTGACTTCATTTCAACAATTTTCTCCTCAACCTTTCTCACTGCAATACTGCAAATTATCCAAATATGTGGAGATAATCGACAGATCAGAGACTATTCAACCCACCCGACCTTCAATCCAATAGCAAAATCTCTTCAGCCTCAGTCACAGGGGTTCAGTTTGCAGATGACACTTGCCTGTGCACTCATTCGGAAACTAAGCTCCAGGTCATTTCTCCAAACTCTTCACAAAATGGCTCCTTCTTTAAATACCTGGGAAACTGAGAGTCTCTTTCAACCGCATCAAAGCCACACCTCAAAAGCCTCATCTCCATGAAGGCACAGATGACAAAATTCATCATCGCCGGCACAGCCTTTAATCATCTGAGAGAAAGAATATTGGAGAACCAGAATCTCAAATTTGTCAATAAGGATTAGGTTTACTTGGCAACAGTGAGCTTTACCCTCTTTTATGCTGCAGAGGTTTGGACAATCTACATTAGGCATCTCCAGCGAAGTAATATGAGCAGCACCCTCACAAGGCCCTCCAAATCCAGAGCCAAGAAATGCTGTCTAACTGGAATGCCTTCTCCAAAGCTGACCTGCCCTACATTATGGTGTTAAGTAGTTTGTAACCTGCTCTGATGGGCAGGGCATGTAGCTCATATCCTGACAGTAGCCTCCCAAAACAACCATCCTATTCAGGAAAGATGATGTTTCGAGTCGGGACCCTTCTTCAGAAATTTCAGAAGGGTCCCGACCCGAAACATCAGCTTTCCTACTCCTCTGATGCTGCCTGGCCTGCTGTGTTCCTCCAGCTCCACACCGTGATATCTCTGACTCCAGCATCGGCAGTTCTTATTATCCTATTCAGGATTCAGTTGTAGCAGGATATTTCCAGCAAGACAATCAAAATGCTTTAGGAATATGTTCAACCCTGAAAAGGTTAAACATTTGAAATTAGAAAAAAAACGAAAGAACTACAGATGCTGTAAATCAGGAACAAAAACAGAAGTTTCTGGAAAAGCTCAGCAGGCTGGGGTAGGGAGTAAAGAGAGAGAAGAGCCGTTGGATAGAAAAAGGAGTGGGTAACGATCTGGCTAGGATGGTGAATAGTTGTTAATGGGAACTGTTAGTGACTAACAACAGGTTGTGTGTAATGACAGGCTATGTGGTAACAAGACCTGGTGTGTGGGGTAGGGGGCTGGAACATGGGAGAGTTCAAGCCCTAAAATTATTGAACTCGATAGCGAGTCCGGAGGGTTGCAGGGTCCCCAAGCTGAGAATGAGATGTCGTTCTTCCAGCTTGCGCTGAGCTTTGCTAGAACACTGCAGCAAGCCAGAGACAGAGATATTGGCCAGGGAACAGGGTGGTGTGTTAAACTGGTAGGCAACTGGAAGTTCAGGGCCTTTTTTGTGAGCAGAACGTAGATGTTCTGCGAAGTGGTCACCTAATCTACACTTCGTTTCCCCAGTATTGAGGAGACCACATTTGTGTGCAGCGAATGCAGTGGACTAGATCCTGGGAAGTGCAGCTTCACCTGGAAGGTATGTTTGAGCCCTTGTATACTTACACCTTTGCCAGCTGCAGGGGTAGGGGTAGCGGTGTGTGTGTGTGTGTGTGTGTGTGTGTGTGTGTGTGTGTGTGTGTGTGTGTGTGTGTGTGA